GCTCCTTATGGAATACAAACGACTGAGCGCTGAAGAATCTGAGGAAAAAGGGTGCTTAGTTACCGAAAATGGTGAATAAGACAGTTTACGGGTTCATTGATGTTTTCTTCACCAACATCCAGGATGATCTGGAAAAGGGGGCACTTTAGCTGTGCATAGTTAACAATGCTACTGGCAGAAAAGTGATTGTCGTCAGTGGTCATCACTTGTACACAAAGATAAGCACTTAAGTACGCAATACTCAGCACCAAGGCATTATTGATAATCATAACAATTGGTGATGGATTCCATTTCGTTAACTGTTCAGTCGTATTTATGTACCATTCGTTTTTGTTTCCTGGACGTCCACCAACTCAGCCGGAGCACTGACTCCTCAAAAAAGGACTGAATCTCTCTTTTAAAAGACGCAAGTCGTAAAGTCGTCATTGTCCGAGAACAGTAACACTGAAAGTAACGGCAATAAATGAGAGTATTTGGCAGCGAAATTATTGACTGGCTGCTCTATGTACCACCCTATGCAAAATGCAGCTTCCAAGTATTTAAAACGCAATTGAAATTTATCTTCTGTATTGTGTGTCATTCTCCTCCCTCCATTTTATAGTGGTGTTTCGCAGTCGTCCTTCATTTGTTTTCTTCTCTTTAACGTAGCCATTTCGTAGCTACATAATATACTCGGTGACGATATACTTATTTATATCTGTGTGTATATATTACTTCTAAATCTTGTGAGTAGCATACGCTACACTGGCAGAAACGTGTTACTGTACTTTCATGATTAACCGGTTCGCCATCAATTGGATTCAGAAACTAACCATACACTGACTTTATCATTCACGTGGTTCACACTTCGGTGTTCAGGTACTCATCCAATGGGAAAAGGTGCTTGAAATACATCCAGAGGTGTGCTAAACCTCAGGAGTAACAGTACTGCCTGTGTTCGTTTTGGTATTATTAAATCCGTTATGTCAGTGGCCTTACTAACCATCACAATTCTGACTTCCTTGGTTCCATTTGCTTAGGTAGACGAAGCGTCCTCAGTGTTTCAATATGTTCTGAAGGGCTGGCGAAATAAAAAGCTACAGGTTGGGTTCTTATGGTCAATACGTGTCTAATAATTCGTGTATGTTGGTATGGTTTTGAACAAATTTCTCTTAGGAAATCTACTCAAACAGCAAAGTATACGCATATGACAAAACTATGTCACTGGCTGCTACCAGAGAGACCATGGTCCTGTAATCATATTGATTCTGATAGCGCATAGGAGGGTTTGTATTTCTTAAAATGTGTTATAATGCGTGGATACATATATATATATATATTACGCAATATGTATTTTGCAAATGGTCACAGATTTTGTCACATCCATATTTTACACCACATTCGACATTGTCCAACGCGAATTAGCCATGATGCGTGTTTCATATTTCTGACGTTTTGAAATACATTAAGGTATAGCAGTTTACAAAGTTGGAATTAACATAATACCTCAAACAGCCAACACCTTCGTGTTCCACCATTTCGCCTTCTATATACTAATCAATTTGAACCCTAAATAGGCCCTCACAAAGTCAAAGGAAAAGGAGAAGAAAGAAAAACATCCAGGATAATTTTGTGACATCTCAAGATAGCAAATAATTTTTCCCTTAAGCGATCATCTAAGCCATAAAGGATAAAATAAATTGTAACGGAAAAAAACTTTTTGCGTATAATCATTCAAATATATTATGTATGAAGTGACCTGCTATAATGCTGGTGGGATATGGGTTCGGCCTACTTTTAATCAATCAGTGTACGAATACATGACTGATGAAGTAAAAAGTATGTTGACGCTAAGAAGGACACAATCGAGAAAGACTGAAATTGCAGGTGTTTACCTGTCTAAGAAAAAGGCCAGATGACTCCGTACTACCGCTATTTATTTAGTACCAATATATGACCAATTAATTACCAATTTAATACACATAACCTGAATTTTGAAAAGAATGTTCTACAGCCTATAACCCTACTTTCGATGTGACAGAGGTTACTTTAAAATGCAATGTAGAGGCAATCAAAAAATAATGAATCCTCTTCGATGTGATACTAAATAACTAACTCCTCTTAATCGTTGAAAGTGTTGTAACAATTCTAAGGTACTGTTTCATTCAAGTTGTCATACTAAATTCTGAAGACGTATTTCACCGTAGATTCCATTGAAGATTCCATTAAGATATTTTTCATAATAAACGACATGCTTTACTGAATATCACTTTGTCACTAGATCCTGACAGAGTGGAGATACAACTGTACATTATAGTATTTCATTAAAATCTAGTAGAAATGAAATGCGTTGACGAGTATGCAAATAGTCATCCCATACATTTAAGTTATAATCAGTAGTTTATGATATTTTCACATTCAAGCTCTCTATGAATTAACCAATTTTTATCACGTAACACCACATCGTTCAATGTAAGATAATTTTAGTGATGAATTAAAATGTTAATTTAAAATTCTCTTGATAAGTTGTTTATTCTCAAAAATTAGAAAATTTTGATGTTGATTGAGGATTTTGTTATCAATTAGAAAACACATCACCATAAGTGTAAAAACTTTGAATCAAAGTTTCAAGAGTTGGGTGAATATATATTCACACATTATTTGAGCATTTTTTTAAATCAATCCTCTTACGTTTATCTTTAGACGGCTATTTTATGGCAGGTAAGAAATTCACTTCTCATTATTTTCTGTATTGTTATGCATTCGAATATCATGGTTTCATGGTTTATGGATCTCGTTATTTGATATAAGTCTGCAGCAGTGATATTCTACTCTTAATGAGTATGTGTTTCTTCACGTCTTTCGAATTCGCTCTTTGTATTTTATTGGCATCCTATTTATGAGATTTCTGAACAAATAATTGGAATCGTAACACTTTCCACTTTTCAACACAACTTGTGTACTCAGCATTAAATATATGCTGATATTGCTATATATAACTCTTCAAGTGTATCATGTGTGAGTAGTGCTCAGTGGAAGGTTATTTAAGTTGAACTGAACTGATAAACTCTCAGGCTGATGGTTGTTATGTCTTGATATAGAAAGCGATTATCATATAAAAGCGAATTTCTTGAATTTTGTAAACTATTTGTGTACTACTTGTTTTTAAATATGGACCATACTGTGTGAGTATCGTAGCATGTGAAATTCGAATATGAGCATCACATCACTACTTTCATCTGTAAGCAATCTCGACGTATCAGATATTCATGCTGCAAAGTAAGACATTAAGATGATGATACTATTTTGATTCTGCAAAAACTCTTGTTCTACCATTACTGAAATCATGTTCGCTATAGGTATAATAATATGATGAATTACTGTTTCTTGTAGAAATCCTGAAATTAATCCCACATTATAATTCTTATATTATTATCTTTGAAATAATTGACTTGAAAACGTGAGTTGTCCATGATGCTGATATCAGAGGAATGAATATTTAAGTAAACGTTCTATGTAGAGCCAGTGGTGAGTCATCGCTCCTTTGAAAATTCCAAGCTCATAGAATTCATATCTCAAAATCTGTACATCTCAAATTCTCGAGTATCTTATTTATTACACTTTGCGTGAATGCACTTGGTATAAATTGAATTTCATTGAATTTCTATTTGTGATTTTTCAAAATCTTTTATTAATTTATCTGCAGTGCATTTTAGCACGTAATCTGTAGATTTCAGGATATTCATACCCTTTGGTTCATTACTACACCTTCATTATGAATAAAAAGTGAATAGGTTTAGCTTTCACTATACTTTGAGCAAAAGGCTACATTTTGATGCCTTTAGTCCGTATTTACAAACAAAACTGTGTAACACTGTAAGTGCTAATTTAAGCCAGAGTTGAAAAATCAGATTTCATATCTGATGTATTATTTTTCTCGATATAACGCATACTAAGCATACAAAAATAATAAGTGCACGGCGTTTCTGCCACAACTGGTTTCTCCCAACAATTTCAGTGTATTAACAAGATTTGCTGAATCAACTTTACAGCCTTGAATCATGCTGATTTTTATTGTAGTTTTCCAAATGTGATGTAAGAGAACCGCATCATTTCGGATAATACGTGAATATGAGATATTGTCGATTACCCTAGCCTATAGATAGCAAATTTTATGATTCCTGACTTTACCTAAGTAGAATGCACGCCATATAATGACGAGTACTGGTATTCATACTCATAAAATTAAACTAAGAAGAAGAATGATTCAGCTACTCCCTACAGCCTGACTGACATAAGTCGCTTGTAATTAGTACTTAAGTGATTAATCCTGCAAAATTATTATCACTAATGCCCGTATACTTTACAAAGTACGCTATAATGTATAACAGGAAGTCAAAATATCTTCTGCGTGGGTCCATTTTTCATTAATTATATCATCCTCACTAGCAGCTACGTCACTGTAAATGACGTTTCTCTAGCTACTTGTTATCTTGGCCGGAACATCACTGATCACATATATATATACGTACAAACATTTGAGGAATTTTATGTGGTAACCTTGAGTCCACCATCAGTGTAAATGTGGAATCACATGTAAGGTTAGGAAACCATAACTTACACATTCATGAATCTGTAAACAAGCACACAGATGTGACATAAAACGCCACATGAGACGACGAATTTCAAAGTTGTACCTATAACAAAGGATTATACCTATATGAGATTTGTTACAACTAGTTGATTTTGCTACATAACCATAAACTATGTGACAAAATGTAAACAAAGTCAACTGATATATTCAACAATAAAATTTCAAACAATTCAGAGAGTATTTTCAGAGATCAATATGATCATTCGCTCAAAGTTCACTGATAACTAATGTATCTCATGCATTCAGCGTTTACTGATTTAAACTGAGATACACACACAGAAATCAGCACAAATCGTTGATGTCAGTTCATTGATGTGAAATCACAACTGATGGTATACACACTACGTACAAATCCACGAAACATCCGTTAACATACATATTATGGTTCACAAAATGGCTCATCTCCCGAAGAACTTCAAGAACGCAAATAAATTAGAAGTTTCAATGAGCGAAGAAATTTCATTATATCAAAATTGAAAATGTGAATTATCTTATATTCAATGGTTGACATGCAAAAAATACTGGATGTTATCAGAAATGATGAATTAGGTTTACAATATTGCAGTCTACTTTGACAAATAGTCACCCCATACTATTCTCATTTCAGCATGTCTGCGAAAATTACTGCGATCTAAAAAACAAAAGAATAGTATGAAAACGTAAGTGCTTAGATTACAAATTATTTTCATATAATTCTGTTAATTTCAATCTAGTTTACATGTGATTGAATTACTTTAAAAAAATTGATGTGTTAAATATGAAATATGTTTCAAAAATTAGAAGGAATGTTGTTTATCTGATATTTTGAAGCGAAATGAAATCAGCCTGAACTCACCAAAGACACAGCAGTGTTGAAAAAGCCACCAGATATTACTGTGCAGATGTTCTGAAAAATAAAAATGGTATCTGATGAAGAAATCGAATTATAAGTGTGAAAAGAATGAAAGACAACTGAAGGAAGAGGAATTCTTCCATAATCTGAATCACAGTTTGAGTCGCTATTGTAGTATGGGAAAATTCAGCACTTTGAAGAAAATAATAAATCACAAAAATAGGTGCAATTGTTTGATATTGCATCCAACGCATTCAGACTGCACTGCTCTTGACGCAACGCTCTGATATTAGCATTATCAATTTAAAATAGCGTTAGTTCACATATTCAAAACTTAAAGACCCATGAGTCAGCCAGCATCATACAAATATGATTTCCCATAATACATGTTCTTCCGATGAAATTGACTCACACAAGTGGACGTTCCACTGAAGAAATATTATGAATGATTAATTTGTATTAAAAAATAGCAAAAATGTCGCCAATCTTATATTCCTTTCAGAAAATCAGAGATAGACCAAACTTACTAATAACTCAGCATTTTTGAAGGATTCGCCCAAGTTTTTGTTACAAACATTCTGAAAAATAAAATAATCTTTATAAAACAATTGAAAAGAATGAAAGGAAATTGAAGGGGCTGGAGTTCTATGAAGTCCTGTATATACTTAATGTAGTCAGTATTTGTTGTTAAAATTCAACAGTGGTGAGAAGATTGCAACCAGGATGATTTTATGTTCAGACTGTATGAGGGGTTCTCATGACAAGTGTAGAGAGTTTCAGCATGATGCCGTTTAGGTGAGGTGAACTTGTAGGGACCAGTAAACTTGATAATGATATTCCGGTGTCGATTGTTCTGTGGCGACATTGAAGAATTGACTAGGACACACCATATGATATGCAGAATAATAATAATTCGCTGTGTTTCAACACAGTGATTATTATGCAGCATGGAATACTCAGAATTGTTTACACTATCAAAACTGATAATAGGAACTCTTTTGCTTTTACTAGTGACATTAAATTCAAAATAAAAATTATAACTAAAATTATAAAATCATAAATATGAGAAGGTAAAAGAGACTTTTATTTTACTAGTTACGTAGTTAGTCATCAGTTTCACGCCTAACACTTTTATATCACGTTAAGTTCCGGCCAGATAAGACATTGGCAAGTTTTTGCACTTGATTGAACTAGCATTTAATCTGTATTGATGCCTTCTAGTCCTGCCTGATGAGATTCAAAGGTTCAGCTGTGAAGAAGTGTGGTGTTTAGAGACAGATATTATGAATTCAGACCATTTCACAACGAATTTCAGTTGTTGTCGAATACAGCGGTAGCGAGCTAACTTATTGTCATACCTCATGCCACATTATAATTCTTATCATTGTGCCTTTGGGTTCTGATGGAAACATAGGCCTTCAAAAACCTAGGTTGAGCTAAAGATTGGCCATAGACCCTTATCTCCTCCTTTCACGATCTCTTCCATGTCACCCTCAGATGACTCACTTGACGTGCGATTTCATTCGATGGTCTTCTCAGCGTATGCCAAGTCCATCTCAGTTTTCTTCGACATATTTGATGGGTAATAGTTCCTTGATTGGTTTTTTTCTCGAGTGTTTTGTCGCTAGGGCTTTCTGGCCATTTGATCCTCAATATGGAACCAGTAAAGCAGCTGCTGAAAATCCTTTCCATGACGCTTCAAGCATCTTGCTCATATAGAGCAACTGACATTTTATTCGATTTGAAAATAAGAATTTTACACAAATCATCTGCGTAATCCAGATCTTCTATAGTCTTTTCATCAGTCCAGCGTATTCCCTGTCTCTCACCCTTCACAGTCTTTCTCAAAATTCAATCCATCACAATATCACTTCCTTTTCCTTTGTTAATCATCAGAAACGTGTCTTCCTCATACACATTTTGAATTTTGGGCACACCATAATGCTGAAGTAGTTTATGAATAACTTCTCTTCTGATTCTATCGAAGGCGTTTTTGAAGTAGTTGAAGTTGAAACAGGCATCTCATTTCTATTTTTGTTAGTTCTGTGAGGACGACATGTTGAGCTGAAATTTGATCAGCGCTTGGTTTGCCTTTCCTGAATCCAGTTCTTTCTGGTGGGTGACAGCGTTCTGTATCCAGTGCATCTCTTATTCTCCCCAGGGGAACATGAATTAGTGTTGCTCTTGGCGTGCACAACGGCATAATCCCAAGCTGGTTCTTGCAACAGTATTTAGACGCTCCATTTTAATAGCTTGACAAGGTAGCCTTTCTTCCAGTCGGTAGGCACCTTTCCTCCTTTCCAAGTTTCTTGAATTATGGAATGAGTATATCCGCTGAGGTTTCTGGATACGTTATCAGTGTTTCAGGGGTAAATTCATCTGATACTGCTGGCTTGCTGGACTTCAGTAGCTTTGTAGTGGGCAAAATTCAAATGGAGGCGTCAGTTCAAAACCTGCTGGTCGCTGAATAGTTATAGCCTAGCTCTTTTGTTGTATATAACTTTGACTTCTTCTTCTGTTGAGTCGGTTGGTAATTATATAGTGTTTCGAACCAAGTCTGTTTTCTGCATTTCACGTCTTATCCCAGAGTGCTTGATATACATTATTGTCTGTGCTATTCTATTACAAGCTTGATTGCATTCAGGACTCCCACTTTTGTTAGTGGATAAGTGTTCCCTTGCGGTTCTGTGCGCGCCGTTGATGGTATTAATGGCCAATTTGCGAGTGACTGTCGATTCAAGTGTTCTCGGAAGTGATCAGCCGTTCGTTTTATTTGTCTACGTGGCCGTCTTTTCTTGGTTTCATTGGTGTTAATCCGTTTTTGTATGGAGACCTAGGGCCTATCGGTATAATATTCTGAGGACTCTCTCAGGTGCGGACAGTTATGCTTCACTTGCCGATGTGATGGAATTGACTTTGTCTTTACTGGCACTATTCTTCACTTCTTTATTCAGTACAGTGTACACTGAACTTAGTTCCTCCTTCAGTTGTCTATCTTCGCACTAAGTTATCTTCTCTTTCACCTTACCCCTCTCCTCGATTAGCTTCCAGTTATGTGTTGAGAGACAATCCATGTCTCGTCACTTCCTTCTTAATAAAATAGCTGTACACGTTTCTTAGAACATCACCTTCAGAAAGTTAGTTCTAATGCTCTTCCACACAGGCTTTCCTATTGACACCGTTAAGTTTCTCCAACTCTGCTCTAATCTGTGGTATGAGAATCGTTTATAGTTTCATCCTTCAATTTCTGGATGTTGAACTCGAATTACGCTGGCCTGTATCCAGTTGTTCTGAAGGTTTCAAGCTTCAGCATGAAGGTTCTTCGAACTAGATGATGATCTGAGCACGCATTTACCCCTGATCTCGACTTTGTTTCCAGCAGGCAGCGTCATTCACTTCCTTCAGCAGAACTGATATAAAGTCCTCCAGGTTGGTGTCTGTTATGCGAAATTTATGTTGCTAGTATGTAACATTGCACTTGTACAGGCTAACACCAATCATCAATTCATTGAAAATTCCTTCCTTTTCAGGTGAATATTGCTGTCATAATCTTGTTGGAGGCTTGTTCTCAGTGTATAGGACTTTGGTTGCAGTTGATGACATCATGTTAGCCACTCCCTCAGTGTGCTATTGGTTGTCTTCTGAAAGACCGGAGTAGAATATTGACTCTCCAGTTGACAATGTAGACAGTTCATATCCATTCTATTTGATCTCACAAATTTCTAGCATTTCATTGCCGTAATGCCATATGCGTAGGCGATCAATCAAGTCTTGTCCTTCATGTGAAAATTCCTTGTCTTCATTCATAATTTTGCTTTCATCAAAAGAAGACAATTAAATGACTACATTCCCTTCACCTATCCGATTCCAGTAAAGAATAAGTTTGTTTTTCACATTTTCTGTATTTCAATTACTGTTTATGTGCATTGGCGTTATTATAGAAATTTAATTGACTTTCGGAGGTAGACTTTCTAGGCTCACGCTTCTTCTTTTTTTCTGGGATTGTGACCATCTATAAAAAGAACAAAATAGTTAATGGTCGAGGTTGCATGATTTACTGACAGCTTTCAGTAACCAACGCAAAATAACATATTCCTCTTTGAGCAGCGCAGGAAACAATAAGGGTAAGAGAGAATGAACAATAACAAGATGCAAAAGTAAGCAAACTGTAAAAACAGACATTAGGTGATACCTGTTCATCCTAAATTCTTGATGCAGAATGCTAGTCAGAAAAATTCCCCAGGAATCTGAATTCTATGAGATGGTCAAGAAAGATCATACTACAAAATTTTTTCAAAATACTGTGTGCTTGACATGATTAATGTCTCAATACCCTTGATGCAAGAGGCGTTATGTGAAAGGATAAGTTAGCGTAGATCAACTTTAGGTTTGAAGGTGAATTCCACTGCTTGATTTTTCGAGGAATTTAACCTAAGCCTATTCAGACCATTAATTTGATCTATTAAGAAAGCCATTCAGTTTGGGACAGTCAGATCGAGACCAAATTGAATCATCAGTGTAATTATATTAGTCAGCTTCTTCCTAAAGAGGCATATTTTGTAGGAAGAAAGAAAAAGAATAAGGGAGAGAAAATCTCTGTATTGAGAAACCGGCTTCAGTAAGCAGGGCAGGGGAAGAATTGCTTTTAAATGAAGTATAGTGTATTCTGTTAGAGAAATAGGAACGCATCTGGTTGATACTCCAGGACTCTATGTATGTCAAGGAAAGCTTCTCTAACAGAATACATCTGAATATTTTTGGCGCATTCGCCTTAGAAGAAAACAGTGCTACAGTGTCAGACAGCAGCAGTATACAACAGACTCTTACCCGCGTTTACATTCAAATTGTTTTGGGTCAAGGAATGTTCAACGAATAATAGAAGTAACTTTCTTATTTATTTCAAAAAAAGAAGTAACCACATTAGACCTAAATTAAGCATTCACACCAGTGAATAACTTGTGTCAAGGTTATCAGTTTAGATATGTATATAAGCCAGATATGACGTTAAATTCAATAATTGTTACAGTGAATAAGGGGCTCAGTTCACAATTGAATTATTTCAGAAAACGTTTACCATGAGTTATGGATCACAAAATCTGGGAAATAATGCAAATGTTGATGTTAGATTGAGTAACTATTCAAAGAATATTTAGATAAATATTCGTCAATTATCCGGATGCCTGGAGAGTTGGATCTCCCAAAAGAATCTTTACCTTAGTGTGATAATGATAATGACGGGACATGAATACATGAAGTAACAGAACTTTCTTTCCAATAAAACAGGAGATAAGGAAACAGTGTAGTTCTATGATTCACAATTAGAAGATATAAAAGTTCCTTTAGTGATACACTGCGCTCAAAGCATCTTTTCTCAAGTCACTTTAATCTATAGATGTTTTTTTAAGTATACATAGATTAATTAATTTCTGAAACTATATGTGAAGTGTGAAACTGTTCAGATGTATACAGTATTCACAGATAGTGTGAAAGAACTAAAATGTTATTCGAACTCACCTTATCACAATTCACAAAAATCAAAATTATTGCGACAATCAGACTGGCTAAAGATAAACCCCACAGTGAAATAAGAACCTTAACTTTCAGTCTTCTCGTCAAAAAGATGAAGGCGATTTTTAATATGTCTTCCAAAACTGAGAAGCCAATGAAAAGAGAACACGCCAATACACACATCGATATAAGTCCTCTGCAAATTGTCAAACATATGAATGCAGAGCATAGTGAAAGCTGTCGGCAAAATAAATTGAAGATGTTTAATGAATTTAATGTGAAAAACTAAGGAAATATATGCTTCAATTAGACTCTAAAGAAAATGGCACCTAAGTCGCGCTCACAGCTTTGCGTTGCGATAACTGCACTTGATTCTTTCTGAAAATCGTATATTGAGAAATATTGGAGTCAAGTTTGTTTGTTGTTTTTAAAGCAATTAGTTCCTTTCATGAATTTCCACAACACTATTAAAAGACTTAGTTTATCTGAAACGTGTAATGTACTTCGCAACACATTTTGAACATTGTGATAATACACGTACTTGTCATTCACAGTTATATAGAAGGTACACTCGATATTTGGAGCACTCAATTTGAAAGCATGTATATCGATTTCACAATTATTCAAATGGTTCAGCATGTTGTCATCTGAATTTCAGAGGAATCACTACTACATAGTCTAATTCTGTGCAGCAGTGGGATTTGTAATCAATAATGTATTATTGTTATTGCCTGACCATATTTGGAGGAAGGATGAAGCCAATAGAAAGTGCCACACATTTCGATGAGGCTAGCTGAATTCTCTCATATGAATTTGTTCACCTTAATCTGCGAGAAATTTGTTTCTAATGTATGGTCTTGAAATATGGCAGAGAGGTTAGGTGAAATGATATGGCATCCAAAAACAATATTGAAGTACTGAATACACTTCGAAATTTATTGGGAATTAAATTCTTGTACAAAATTGTGATAATGAGCAGGGAGTAACTTTACACTCTTAGAGTAATTGAATAACCGTTCATCACTGAGCACCGAACTAATACAATTATTAAAAATTACTAACGCATGACGACCATGAAATACTCTGGTGTTTTGAAGGTTTTGATACGTCATCGAGCAAGTCACACCAACCGAACTATTGACAGATGGTTCGTTAAGAAGTATCTCCCAGTTTAGTGATTTTTCATATCCACTTTTTGCAGACTCACATTTGTTGAAAATGACAGTGTTATTCACCTTAACCAAATGTCATGTACTAAGGATACGTTAAGATTAAAGTGTAATATATATTCCCCTTAAATTCTTTACCTCACCATGTACGGTTGTCCAGCCTCCTATTTAAATAACTTGTTTTTAAATGCACAACAGGTAAGTATTAGTCATGATTTCATATTATCATTTTGAAACTGTAGAGAACTTACCAATATGCCAGTGAGTAGGCATGCAACTAGGAATTTATGTCTGAATCTGAAGAACAATGTGATACAGAGAGCCACGACAAATGGTCTGAATAACAAAAATGTGGAATTAGGCGGAGAATTTTATGACAAAACATATTATGGCACACATAAATATTCAGTTGTTCATGACTGCATTTACTGTATCTCGCGGTGCAGTGTATGAATTATCCAACAGGATCTATCACTTGTTACCGCATTATTCGTTTACCGTACATGCACCAGAACATTCTGGATACTAGGAAAGTCAGCGGAGTTATTTTCTATTCACATTGGATATAAGGGCTTGAATGCCAGTCTATTGGTCTACATTGTTGCGTAACATTTGACAAATAAGAATAGGTGATATTAGCAAGTTTTTGGGTTATTCCTAACTGAAGAGCTTCAACATTCTAAACGTCGTTAGCTTCGTAGCAATAAGTGATGCGCCACATTCAGGTGATGTTTCAAACATGAAAATACGTGACTAAATCAGGTAAAGCCATAATGAATCCAAGTTGTAAACAGCTGTTTCATAAAAACCCACCAGTAAATTGATGCAAAAGCCCATTGGAACAATATTTGAAACTTAGTTGATCACTGATTTTTAATGCTGAACTCAGTCCATTGTTCGTATTTCTGAGTATTGATTGTAATCATGACTTTAAAATATAATCCACAAGTAACATGAATACATTTATTATCACACTACATCAAATGTGTTTGTTGTCTCAAATATGGTAAAATATAATACTCACGTGCAAATAATTGCTAAAATAACTTCTGGATCCATCGCAAGTATTTTTCTTATCTAAAATGTAACACGTGTATGATAAGTATGAGGCAAACTAGTGATTCTTGCACTAAATTTAGCAATGGACATTCCTTTATATTGGCTCAATGAAGAGAAAGCTTCACAACGGTAGTTCGTTATGTGCTATTCATAATGATAGCGAAACTGCCGAAGTCAGTGATTCTAGCAGTTTTTTGGGAGATCATTTCTAATAATTGAATATCACCTCAGTAACGACTGGTTATTTGCCACTGTGTCACAATAATACGGTTTCACTTTGTTTGAGATATCTAACGAAAAATGAATACCCAGAGAACCCTGTTTTCTCAGAATATATATTAGTTCAACTACCTATATTATATCAGTAATGAAATAACCGAATTTAGTTTTATAAATAGGATATTGAGTTATGAGAGATACTGTCATTTGAAAGTGTGAAACATAAACATTATTTTTGTCTGAATAGTGATAGGTCGCCACGCTCACTATTAGAAAGGTCCCTATTAACTTATTCCCTACCTACAACAGCTGTACTGCAGGATATCACATATAGACTTGCAGGATGTTACAAAGGAATATAATGTCTATTAGCTAATATACTTATTCTGGGAAACATACGTAAAGAACCTAAGGTGTCCACTGTCACGTATCCCTATTTAATGACATTAGACCCAACATGACAAGGAGATATATCAGATTACTGAGTTACCATGCACTCATTGATAATAGAAAGTCTCATAAACAGATTCTTGTAAACAACAAAACATAAAAATAAGGACACATACGAAAAGAATTACTTACATTTGACTTACGTCGTAGGGATCGTTGGTAGTTACGTGAGTCAAATACAGAAATAATACCTGTGCACAAATATATCCATCACATTCTTTAAACTTTGATCCAAAGTTATGTGTCTTCATAATTAGATACGATATTCTGTCAATAATACTGAAGGTGTTATACTTTGACCTAGATAAAGTTTTATTTTCAAAAAAAGTAAATAAAAACAGCATCCTTCATTTATGATATCAAATACATTTACATTTATACCAAAGTCTGCTTTGTTTATGGTGGATGTTCTGTGGATGATCGCATGAGAAGCAGTGAATGGGACAAAGTTTACTACAAATTTGAATGGCAAATATGCTGAAGGGAAGTTTTATATAACTCCTGACTAAAATAACGTCATTCTGCAAAAATATTTAGATGAAATACAAACGCTGAAAATCTTCTTCAGATGGATTATTCACATCTCTGAATGACTTCTCATATTGCATCACCAGTCAATATATATATATATATATTGATAAGAATAAAGATAATAACCATGATACTGAAGGTGGTAGAGTTGAAGTGGATGAATGAAGGAAACTCTAAAAGTTTACTGAAGACGTTACCTAGTATTAGGATTTTCAAAACAGGTAAAATATTGTCAAAAATTAAAGGTTGGATGTTAGTAGCAATTAAAATCGAGATGAGCAGAGGAACTGTGCTGAATTCAAGTGATGAAATAAAATAAAACAATAATGACATTACCAGGGTTAAGAAAAGGGGTTCAACAAGACATATTTGAATTCATTGTTTTAGCTTTTGGTGAATGTGTACCTAAAGTGTTGACTGAATATATAAGTGGATAACACGTGAACATTTAAAATCACTGGATTTCACCATGTGGATAACTTTATGCGATGAATCGCGATGGAGAGAATCACCATATTTATGAAGGTGTTCATCAACCAAACTGGATAGTTTTCATCTACGCTTCTCCAGAGAACTGACTACAATGTACGATGTATTCAGTACCAAGTGAGCATGTGAAACAGATTTATCCCTGATTCACTGTGGAAATTTGATCAATGTCGAAAGTTTACTGATGAATACAGCATCCAACGACTACATTCTGCACTGATTACCAATGAAAAATTTGCATGAGTGCACCTAAAGTGGTAATGTCAGTACACGAAAATGTGATTTTATAATGTGATAAATTCTAATCGTAAGTATTTGTTAAACAGCCATATTCATCCAAATGGGAATTGACAGAATATTCATTCTCTTATTGAACCGGTTATATGCACAGAAAATTGGAAGAATTTTAGCCCTAATATAATTATTGTATTATTGTGAATATTACAATATTAAAAGACGGAACAGCTCATATAGGCGAACAACACTGTTTTCTGTTATATCTTGTCAGTCTAAATAAACACTGATATACGTTAATTTACCAAATCATGTTCAGCAGAAACCAATCACAGTAATTTGTTAAGATAAGGATCATGTCCATGCAAATAATACAATAAGTTATCGTTATGTTTTTGTAAGCCTTTTCTCATTTAGGCTACACCATCGACAATCTTTGCTTCAAACGAGAGAAACGATCGTTTGATGTTGAAGTCACTTTGATGGTACTAGCAAGCAAGCACTACTGCTTGGTGTAAGTAATGCGTATTTTGAACAATAGACAAGATGAAACTGAATTTTAATCCATAAGGATAAATTATTTTTTCTCAAGTCGCTTTTGAAATTCCTGTCCATGAACTGAGAATATCACCATTAGTTAGGGAGTGCAGGTACATCAAGTCGTCAGTTCCAAAATAAGGCCAACCTTCGATTCTACTGCTAATTATCATCCATAAAATTACTTCAAATTAATCTTCAGCCGTCGTTGAATCATACGTACTAGGAGTTGCTTTGTTAGCACAAATTGTTATCAAAGTCTCTTCACATCTTAACTCCACGTCACATGTGGAAACGTTTCAGTGAAATTACAGGTTGTCATCAGGCATGTATTATTGTCCACTCTGTTGATGTAAATACTCTCAAAAAATCCTTCATATGCATTTATCCACAATATAACAAATAAGGTCAGTGACGTTCACGGTTTTAACAATCTTGATGTTATTAAACTTTGATAGACATCGATAATTAGGCATACCTGATTTCTTATTCATTAACTTACGTCAACGCTTTAAATCGTCTCATTTATATACTTCAGTGTTATTTATAAGCATATAGATCGATTCCTTCACGTTCCCAGTGAAAGACATAGGGGTTCAAGCTACAGGCTTCAAGTTTCTGTAGCAGCGTTTATTTTTACAGGATGAGGTTGCTAGCCCATGCCAACCTTTCCTCTTTACCAGCATTATTACTGGCTTAGGAGGTAAAGGAGTGCGTTGGCCGGGGAGCGAGCCCCGGACCATGTGCATGGTCGGCGAGAGTCCTAACCACTGTGCCACCGACGCACTATTTATAAGCATAGAGTAAATTAATTGAGCTCATAACCTTCTAGAATGAGCGATGAAAAATTGTTTGAATTAGGTTGGTGATAAGTTGTCGTTCAGAATCTGTTTCAGCAAAGTGGCAGAAGGTTGATATCCGCTTGTTGTAGAGACTTTCGGAGTGAACATGACAGAATAGCCACACAGATGAAGAATTTTCCTTAAGAATCCTCATTCACTAGCAATAATCACAAATAAGGCCACAAATATAGACATCAATGCAAAATAAAGTATGTTTCTTAAAATCTTCCAGTTTATACCTGATTTTACATACTACTGATTGACTGATATGAGTAGTTCGAGTAAAATTAAATGAAGCACAAGCGTTTAGTAGCTAGATGGAGCCTGAGTTGAAGTGATTCAGTCAGATTCAGTTCTCTCAGCTGTGACGAACCAAGTATGTCACTTAAATCCTCACGTTAAAATGAGTTGGATGGATGTTCGTTATTTAGATCATTAAATTCCTTAAGTGAAGTAGGCTTGACTTTTCATTCTAGGTGGAAAGAGGTATATGATGGTCAGAATATTGACTACTGTTTAACCTTGCTTGTTACAATTCTAATATATTCGAATCTTTTCAAAAATTATTTGATGGATAAGTATCACATTTTTGTAATGTCACCGAAAAAAGGAAAAATATGGAAATTCTTGAAACTTGAACAAAAGAGACAACCAAAGAAAAATTCAACAAGTGATATTAGGAATTTAAAGAACTATACACCACATGTCAGACAAGATACTAACTGAAAATGAAATCTCATTCATACAGAAAGGCGTAAGTTCCAAAACCAATAGGAAGCCATTCTCGATTCCCGAAATAGCACAAATGTTTGAACCTACTCTAACAATAGATAATCAAAATCTGGATGTCAAAATATATCACATATATCAATGACACAACGAAACATACCATCTAATCTCATCAAACATGAATACGAAGCTTTGAGCAATTAGAAGAAATACAAAGGCATTTTGCAACTAAAGCTAACAAGGGAAACGTCACTGTGATAATGAACAAAACGGATTATGAAAAGAAGCCAACTGAACACCTATCTGGAGGACCATATTTACTCACTGAAAAAAAGAAGAAATCTGCCGAATTTAACGACACGAAACTAGATACAAACAGACTCCATCAAGAAATGAAATTTGAAAGTCTCTCTGGTTTTAATTAAAACCAAAATCTTATGTACCTTCAAGTTTCTACGGTCAACCGAAGATACATAAATCCATAGTTTCATTAGGACAAGTAGTAGACTCTAACAACTAATCGAAATACAGCCTATCTACATACGTATTCTCGATACTACAACCACTACAAAAGAACACTTAAAATATTGTAAAATATTCATATGGTTTCAAATCCCATATAGAACACCGCGAAACTGATCAACAAGACATTATGGTAAGCTATGATATTAACTCATTATGTGCCAGTATTATAATTATCGAGTTTTAATATCATTTTCTGTTTGCCAGAACCAGGCACAGTTCTATCACAAAGGTGTTCAACGGACAGCAGTGAAATAATAAGAAGCTAACAACTCTGTATGGAAAGTAATTAATTTAAATTTAAAGAGAATTCATATGTATAGAGAAAATTAGTGTTTCCATGGGTTCACCAGTCTCCACAATAGTCGCTGACCTTTTCATGAAAAGATTCGAAGATAACATCTTTTCAAGCATACTCAGGCGTAGAATGTAGTTAAGATACGTTGA